TATCACTCACTAAGGATAAATTTATTTGTGATCGTTATGGGAGTTAGTCTTACCAAAATAAAAGTGCGAATGTAACATGAAAAAAGGTAAATAACCGAATTCATTATAAACATCTGTTTGACATAAAAATCATATGAAACATTTAATAACATGATTATCGTAACTGTTATAAACTACGTACCTGATTTGACAAGGAAAATACTTGTTTGACATGAAAAAATCACACGAAACCTGTAATAACATTGATTATTCCTAATTTTATGAAATACGTACCTGAATTAGCAAAAAATTCTTATGAAACCTGAAAAAACCTATAAACAACGTGATTAGTCATAAATATGTATATGACATGAAAAACTGCATCAAACCTTGAAATACCAAACATGTATGTAATTGAGACTGAGTAGTTGAGTCAACTACAAGAAACAAAACCAGTTAGGTTTCAAAACCATGAGCACTTCAAAACTATGGGCAAAACCAGCAAAAAAATTTACTGATCCAAATGTATATTGTTAAATTCAACATCCAACCACCAAGTAAACGTACCAGTCCATATACATCTATAAAAACACAATGTTTGCATACCAAATTCTAACTAGGAAAAAATATGAGTAAGAAAAGTAAAGATATTGGTGAATCTTCATCTTTACCACCATCAAAAGTAAGAATATTTGAAATTTTTATGCTAAAAAATGGAGATGTTTATTTTAATGTCAATTTACTATGTTTTTTTAATCAGCGTGGAAGGATTACTGAACTAAACAAACATTTGAAGAATGGATTGCCTATACGGATGCAGATCGAGAGCAAGATGAAATGTGTGATATCATGAAATTAGCAAAAATTATGCTAAGAGCTAATGCTGTAAAAGTTATAGACCGAAACGAAAATTGAAAGTGTAGTTACTGCAAAGATATACCCAACATGAACTGGAACAAAAACCAACTCCTAACACACGCCCATGAAGTTGGTTACAATGAAACTGTTGCCAATCTAAGTAAGAAATGTATTGGAGAGCATCGTGGACTAGAAATCTATTTAAAATAGTTAAAATGAAACCTAGACATGTATTACTTTGCTGTTATCGTGTACTACTTTGATAATTTATGCATATTTAAATTTGAATGAACTTTATCATTAAAAAATTATTTGAAAACATTTGTTGATATCACATAAAATAAACCAGCCACATGTATATGAAAATTACGGCTGAGGGATCAGAACTTAGTTAATATCATCATTGTTAGTCATCCAATGTAATATCAATAAATATTACAGGTTGCTAATCTCAAAAAATATGACAATCATCATAGCCTAAAAGTAAAAAAGTCATCAACTAAAACTCGTGGCATGATAACTGAATACCTTAATAACCCATAGTAGTAGCCATCCAATACAATGTGTATACATTGTAGGTTGCTCAAATACAAAGTTTTTTCAGTTGTCATGTATATGGTGACTTATAAAGTTCTTGCAATCACAAGTTTAATGTAAAAACTAGTATTCTACAATATTCATATCATCATGGTAAATATTTATATAAAACTATATGCTCAAAGTGGAAGCACAACTAAAAGCAAAGGCATATAAATAATTACTACATATTACAATAATATGTTCTATCATCATAATGTTCCACAAACCCAAAAAATAACATCAACATATTGTTCAAAATAAAATGTAGTTTCCCTAAATTAAGCAAGACTAGTCTTTCACAAAAAGTAAGTGGATTTATCAAGTATGTTAGAAGTGAGAATCACAAAATACCACATGAACCCATATTCATATTGTTCTTCAACCCTCATTGTTGAGAAATACATCAATCATCTCTTTTTGACCAACTGGAGATATGCCCATAAATAGTCTTGATTCATGCTTATTCAAAAAGAGATGACGGTAGTATGCATCTATCTTATCCACCATATTTTGCATGAACTCATCATCTAGGTTGGTCCTACGAGCCTTTCTCTTAATAACACATGACTTTGCCTTAGAAGTTGATGTGGCGGGTGCATCCTTAGGCGGAGGAGTGTCCTTGTCATTTAAAACGTGTACTTGAGGGGATTGAGAGGTAGGCAAAGGTGAGTCAACATCATCTCCTGTTAGACCCTAGAGGGGGGGTGATTAGGGTCTTATGCTAATCTAATCCGATTAAATACCAATTAAAACTAATTAACAAGTTATCCTAGCAAGTATGAAATATAACAACTATATAAGCTAGAATATATCCTAGCAAGTATGAAATATAACAACTATATAAGCTAGAATAAGCAATATGAACAATGAGATATATCTTATATGATAAAATATATATATGCAAGGATATATAAACTAACACAAGATGATATATCCTACTAAAGAGATATACAATATGATATATGCAAGGATATGTAAACTAACACAAGGGTAAACAAAATGAACTAAATAGTGGATCATATAAATAATGAGCTATGGAAATGGAGATATAAGATATGAACATAAATATAAATGAACGCCAAAGCACACTCAAACACACTATATGATCACGGAGTTCAGACCTTCCGTCCTACGTCTCCGCTCCCCACTCCCGGGGAGAATCCACTATCACAACCGGGTTTTCTACGTTCACCCGAATAACGTTTACACCTCACAGTGTCGGTTTTCAACGCTCACCGAACAACGTTCACTCCTCACACTCGGTTTTCTAGTTCACCGAAAACTTCACAATATACTCGGTTTTCTAGCTCACCGAAAACCTAACAATCTCACAATGTAATTTGTTCTCTACAATAGATGAGAACACAATGAAGCACAACTCAATGTTATAATCTCTCACAACCCTAATATACTATGTATGCAAATACAATAAGCTTAAGTGGGTGTGTGTAACAATGAGATATAAATAAAAACTTAACTCAATAAGAACTAGTAATAAGATTGATATGAAATACAATAGTAGAAATGCTAAGAAATAGAGTTAAGGAAACTTCTCTATAATCATAAAGAGAGGATGAAAGGATATTGAAGATGAATTCCTCAATAGATGATGCAAACTCCTCTTTGTAACAGCAAACCCCAAAAACAAACTAAACACACTTAAACTCTTTTTAAAACTGTTAAAACATTCTCTCTTGGGTTAATTGAGAACTGAGATCAATGGGGTATTTATAGCCTCCAAGAACCTCAGCCAAAAACCCCAAACCAAATGACAAAAACAGCCTCAGCAACGGTAACAAAAATAGCCGTTGGAAACAGAACTGACAGAGCGGCGGTCGACCGAAAAAATTCACGGTCCGACCGCCGCATC